TGGACACGTATCCCTCACACAGTCGGTCTCTGTGTCACCGGGAAGATGGAGGCATCAACAGTCAGTGTGGACTTAAAAACAAAAAAAAAAAAAGAAAGAAAAAAAAAAGTTGCCTGCGCGGTATTAAACATCTTAATTCGTGTTATGCAGAATACAGAAAAATGCATCTATTTGTGTAACCAAAGCTTCAGACTGACATTATTGAATTCTGTGCGCTGAACTTAAAATCCAGGGAACTAAATGCAAAAAAAAGTGTTAACGTCTTAAATTTTCCAGTTGGTATAAAGCTGCTCATACTGGTTGCAATGCTTATAGCAAGACAGTCACAGTGTGGTTGTGCTTAACGTATTTTACAGTAACAGGAGTTCAGCTTGGTGAGGAGTGAAAGCATAGCCTTGTGTTTCCTAACTCGTGAAACCCTTCTGTTGCGGGTTTATGTCGCTGTGTGTTTTTCTTTATAGTGCCAGTGTCCTTTCTGGGTAGTGTTCCTGAGATAAGGGTTTAACCCTGTTAAACACCTTGTTCCAGGAAAAGCCTGGGTTTGGTAGAAGGTTGAGAATGTTAGTGAACCATTGCTCTTCCCCAATACCTTTTAAAATCTCTTTTTTTTTTCTGTTTGATAGGTATCTGTAATTACAGGAGACCAAAGGCCGACTGAATGTTTCTTAAAATAAATCGCTAACAATGCGCAGACGATTTAAGAATATGAACGCTCCCCTGGAAGCTAAAGAAAACGAGAGTAGATACACCAAAGAGAAGGAAGAGGCCTCGTTCCCTGATCTGTCAAAAGACCAGAAGACTTGCAGAGTGTCTAAATCAAAAGTTATAAAAGCATCCACGAAGGAGAATTTAAGGGATGGGAACCAGGTGCAGTTGCAAAAATGCGACCTGACATACAGCAAAGGCCTCGAGGAGGCCTCGTACCACAACAAGGAGGATGTTGTTAGCTGTCAGTTTACTGAATGCTTTTTTGATACTCCAAAACGGGATGTGGTTGGTGAACCTACCTTGCCTTTGAACAGCAAGGAAAATTTTTCAAGACCACCTGTTTCTCTGGGGGATGAATGCTACTTGACACCTAATAGGGACAAAGCAGAAGAAAAATCTGATTCTGAAATAGCAGAGAAACAGAGGAAAAAACATGTTGATTTTGCAAATGTAACAATTGCTGAATTTGGGATTACTCAAGAAAGTTTTACTAAACCATCTACAGGTAAGGCTGGAGTGACTAATGACTGTTGTCCTTCTCAGAGGGAGATCTGGAGGTCATGTAGTCCAACCTCTGATTGAAAGCTTCAGTTTAGGTTAGGTTCAGGTTGTCTGGCTGAGTTTGAATATGCCCAAGGATAGGACTGTGATATGATGTTGCTTTCATTCCCTTTGTAGCTTTTTTCTGTCTGCTTGAGTCAGTGAGTTTCACAAGGGAGCAGTAAGACAAGTTTTGTCAATTGTTGGTGGACAATTCCTTAACTAGCAATTGAATAAAAGAAAGACGGATTCTCGCTTGGTATAGTTTAGTTACATATGCTTTTAGGAAGTTGATTTGCCTTTGCTCAGGAAGGTTTCTTGAGCTAAGCAGCTAACTTCAGATGTTTTCATAAATAACATAAATCACTCTTGAAACAACCCAAAAAAAAACCCCTTTTAAAGCTTTAGGTATTCTTACAGAAATTTTTGTTTCTTTCCTGCTGTCTACATCTCAGGGAAGACTCCGACTTCATTAAAATTTAGACGAAGATCAACAATTGGAATACGGGGGTCACCAGAGAATAACACCCTTATCCAATACCTTGCCCAACAGAGAAGCAACAGGCAAAAAGAAGGTTTTACACAGGTAAGAGTCTTTTCTCAAATATCTGATATGTCAGTTTAGTTCCCCCAGGAATCAATATCTACTGGCAGGAAGAGAAGGTAAGTCTCAGGAAGACCCCAGCAGAAGGAATAACCATGGCCTTGATTTTCTTGACTTCCCTTGGGCTCCTTACTTTAGCTTAAGGGCATGTTGGAGGTTTTGTTTGTGTGGCGTCTGGAGTCTTTTCTCCGTGTCTGGCTCGCTCATGTATTTCCACTTTTGTTTGCCGTGACCTTTACTTTCCTGCATTTGCCATGCTCGATTTGTGGCTAATGAAAGTGTTGGTACTTCAAAGTGAAGTGAATACTAGCATAAGGGATTGTTTTTTAGTTAGACTTGTTCTTAACTCAAACTAGCATAAACTGTCAGAAAATTAATTCTGGGTATGGTCTAGAAGGACAGATTATGAAAGGCAGTAAAACTTAACAGATTTCTTGACGCAGTTCCTTTTTTGCATGTTTTTACCAAACAACTAATATTGCAGCCAGGTTGAAAACAAGATTTGCTTCTTCTCTGAGTTTGTTTTATGCCAAAGTACAAATACAAAGTAATAAAGCCCGTGTCATCTTGGGGAAAAAAAGTCTCATGAGCTTCATTTTGTTTTAGCAGGTTAGTCCTTTTAGATATGAAAATGTCAGGTCGTTGAAGGACAAAATAGATGCCTTTCAAACATCTTTCGCCTCAGTGCAAGAAACTGAAGGGGAGGCTGGCTTCTCTGGACTGTCCCAAGTGGATGCTTCCCAGGAAAGAGGCTCGTGTAAGTGAGTTATATTTCTCGTCAGTGATTTGTCTTAAACATCAGGACTTCCTTTAGGCCAAAAAGTACGAAACTACAAACACTTAAAATAAAACAAGAAAAAAAATCTTCCTTTATAAGGATTAGCACAGGTTTTTTTGTCTTTGGTTTGAGGTTTTTTTGTTTGTTTAAACCTATCTTATTTCCTAGTGCATCCTGAATAGTGGTTTCTCAGAATAAGCCACCAAAGAAAAATGAAGATTCTTATTTGTTACGACTGTTGTCTTAGTTTTGCTTTCTAGATTTATACCCTTTAATTTACTTTTCACTAGGCATTAGTGTTTTCACACTTTTTCCATTAAACTGACAATGGTTTTTATTTTTTTTTAATGAAGATAGTATTGCAAAAGCAAGTCAGGGCAGTACTGTGGTAACTGAGAAGATGACAGTGTAAAACAAACAAACAATGCTTTACTTCTCTGGTATTGGCGGTCTTAATAACATTTATATGAAAAGAATAACTTGTTCTGTTTTGAAGATTTCATAATGTTATTTTCAAAATGCACGTGTTTTCTTTTTCCTGACTAGAAAATTACCTAGCTTTATGAATCACACCATCCTTTTGGTGAAGAAACACAAAAAGAGCATTCATTGAAAAATCTGGAGTTTGTCTTTGTGGTTTGTTGTTTGGTTTTTAGTGTGTTTTGTTTTTAATTGATGCAGCTCAGAACAAAGTACCTTTTACAAAAGAGTGGAACCTGGATCAGTGGAGTGAAAAGTTCATGTCAGACAACAGTGGAGCTGATTTGAAAGAAAATTCAAGACAAAATTTGACCAGCAGCAGTGAGCCTGATACCAGGACCTGCACCGCCTTGTCTTTAGGCCAAGATGTGACTGTCGCCGAACCTGTTGCTGCTGTTTCAAAGGTACTTGTGTAAGTGTGGACAAAGAACATGGGGAAGACAAATAGCACAGCAAATCTCCCTTGTAAGAACTTTACATCTTACTGTCACAAGTCAAAGAAAGCAAAATCTGGCATGGACACCGATCCATTTGGACCGGCAGTGAACATAGCCTCACCTCAGATACCTGCTGCTGGCTCTGCTGAGGCTGTGCACAGTTTTCTTTCACACGCAAATGCTCAATGAGGATGCTAGAAGCTGTTCGAGTCAATAAGATTATATTCTTTTCTCATAATCACATGGAAAAGCTTATTTTAGTCATTTAGTAACATTTAAATATGTCTTAATTATTTTGAATTTGCAGCTGTAACTATGTGAGGTGTCAAATTCACAGATCTGGCAAATACAGCTTTTTCTAGATGTCAAAATGAACTTTACTGATCATTGGGATGACTGCAAACGCAATTTTTAATCTTCACCTTGTATCTGTTCAGCAGTTATTTGCTCTTCCACGCGAAGAAAAGGATGTACTTGTATGCAGGTGGAGAATTAATTTATTTTCTATATCAGTATCTCTGGTGATCCTTTTATTAGCATCATACATAAAAACTGTGAAGGTGGGGTCCATTTTGGTAGGTGTGTCCTGATGCTGCTGGACCTAGCACCTTGAGCTGTAGAGCAGCTGTGACAGTGTAGCAGTTGTATGGAGGCTAGGAAGAAACTTCTGAAGGTAGTGATTAAAATATACAGGTTTTTCATTCCGTATTGTTATCATTTCTGATGTCTAATCCTTTCAAGCATTTAGCTTTGGTGTTTTGGGAAAATAAATTCAACTAAAGTAGTGGATGATTGAAAACTCTGAAATCCCTATCTATAGGGTTAAAAAACTCCATAGTTCATGCTATTTTAAAAGGCGTCAGTTGCAAGTGGTTTTACTTCTTTATGGTGTTATGTGGGTACGTATATAAATAGATGCTATATGTATAATCTTGTAACTTTTTCTCTAGGAATGGATTTATGAGCAACACAATCCTACTGAGTCGTTGGAGGCTGTCGTTGGAGGCCATGGTAAGAGGATTCATCACTATTATAATCTTGGTTATATTCTTATTAGTAAAGTAAAAATACTTAGAATAGTTGTAAGGAAATGTTTCACAAGCAGTCATCTGTGCCTATCATTATGTCTACAATTTATAGTTCAGTAGAAACTTGATGTAACTTTGACATGAAGGCTGATGGGGGAACAAAAAAACCCAAAGCACTGCAAATAACGATCTATTCAAGTGCTGCTGCAGAGAAGGCTCTGAAAAACTGAATTGAGAGTTCATTTAGTAGAGCATAGCATTTAACATGTTTTTACTGAAGGAAGAAAGGAAATGGGTTTTGTGAGAGGAGCTGATCTATTTGGAAGGTGGGGTAGGGCCTCTTGGGTGGTACGATAGCAGCTTGGTTCTGATTAGAAAAAGCAAACTCCAACTGAGACACAGTCTTCTCAATTTTACTTTGGTCTTTAATTGTTATATCTGTCTACTTTCTCTAAAGATTTAAGTTCTGACCACACCACTAAAGATGTGAGCAGTAATGTTGTATCAGATCTAAGCAGGAAGAAAGTTAGTTTTGCAGAAGAACTGAGCCTGGGAATATTTGATGGAAGCAAGCCACCTCTCACACCACCTGTCACACCACTAAGAACGGGAAATATTCCATTAAATGAACATACACAGAGTGGCTCCCAGCTAAGATCTGTATTGAAGAAAACGCCGACGAAGCAATTAATGGATAGCATGAAGGTTGGTTAGCTGACTTACGTGGAGGTACTAACACTGAGGGTGAACTTCTGCAGTCGCTGTTGAACTACCAGAAGTTGAATCGTGGTTAAAGATACTTTTTGACTAGTTGATATCCATTGGAAATAATTTAATGCTATCAATGGATATGTTTGCTCTTTGATTTTCTTGAAAGCTTTGAAAATTTCATGTTATGGGAGGATCTATATGTATGTTGTTGAGTTTTATTGATTTAGAAAACAAGTAGGGGTTTTTTGAACAACAGGACTGATTGTTAGATATTGCTTACAGACAAAGTTCTTTTCACTTGATTTGAACAAGGACAATATTTTGATTAAATGGCATTGAACAGATGATTGTATCACTTAAATTCGATAGGAATACTCAGACGATGCAGTTGACAGAGGAGGAGGTGAATCTCTCGCGCTCTCCAGTTGTGCAAAAGTCTTTGAAGCATTGCAAACAGGTCAGATTCCCCTTTTGTTTTTTAAGTAGGCAGAGTATTATGTGGGATCATAAGGTTTTGCCTCTCTGGTAAATCAGAAGAATGATATGCATTAACCACCACTGAAGTAGCTCCTCTGTGCCATTCTGCTGCGGGAAGTGGAAAATAAGGTTGCCAAGGAAAATAATGTCTATTTTATAAATATATATATCTCCCACATCAAAACTTCAGAAAGCCTCTGATACCAGGACAGAATCACCTGTTTTTCAAGAAGTTTGGAAATTTCTAGTCTTCTATTTTCTTTCTTCCTTAATTCTTGATACTGTAATAAAGCTATAGTGAAATTTCTGGTTGACTCCACAGGACAGGTAAAGGTGGTATTTTGCTGTTTAGTTGGTGGGGTGGGATTTTTAAGAGACTGTTAAGAACCATGAAAAGACCTTGAAAAGTCTCTGCTCTATGAAAGTTCTGTTTTAAATTCACTAAGCAGTCTATGTATTTTATTACAATAGAGACAACTGAAAGACATAGCTCTGAAAAGCCAAAGAGGAAAAGGGTTACTTTTGGAGAAGTTCTAAGCCCAGAAATATTTGATGAATCTTTGCCTGCAAACACTCCATTGCACAAAGGAGCAACGCCAGTCCATCATCCAGGATTACAAAGGAGTAGTCCTTTTGCAGGGTCAAGTCTCATTGAAGAACCATTACCCCAGCTGAATTTTGATTGCAGTGACGTAAGTTTTTTGTTGGTGTGTTGTTGTTTTTTAACTATAAAAACAGTCTCCAAGTCTCTATGACATAATGTTCAGTTTTTGTTTCATTTTTTTCCCCAGTCTGCTTGGGTTTGAAAATAAATTGCTAAAGTATTAAACTGTAGTCCACTTGGAGCTTTAGAATGATACTGAGAACTTTTTCTTTCACTTTATGAATTCTAAATAGCATTTTGGCCTGTAGAGCTGTGTTTAAAGTTGAGTACTAGTAGCACATTAAATGTTTTACCTTGGTTTATTTGTATACTTTTGATACTGTGTTTCTTCTTGCCCTGTATAGCAAATGAGATGCTGCATTCTTTAAGGCAAAAAAAAAATCCCCTGTCTGTTCCAAACACTAATGGACCAGATGTTTTCCTGTATTTATTTGATATAGTATATTGCTAAAAAAATTAGCTTTCTTTCTTTAAAGGAATATGTTGAGCCTCTTCAAGAGTTAGTGGAGGGTCCTGTTGCTGCAGAAGACCTCTCACCTGTTGAAAATGCAGAAGGTAACTCCAGCTTGTATTTTTCTCAATAGGTAATGCATCTTTCTCTGTGTGGAAATTGAGAGATGACACAGGGTTGGTTGGTTGTTTTTATACAGGGGTTATTTTCCAACTGTGCTGAAATTTAGATGCTCTTGCTTTCTTCTGAAGATTTCTGCAGTAGCTGCACTATTTACCTGTTGTTTGGTTTAGCTGGATGTTATTTGACCTTGTGTTTTTCTGTGAAAGTGGCTGATCTAATTAGACTTACTACTTTGAGTAATTGAGCTTACCATCTTGATTCTGATATTGTAATTCTGATGTTTTAAAATTGCAGCAAGACAGCAACAACAAAAATTGAGGTGTTGAGCATGTATATGTATGTATCACTGTGAAAGATGCATGTGTTAATTATTTTGTTTTGTTTTCCTCTGTTTTGTAAAGCAAGCTGGTTTTTTTATCTTGCCATGTTTGATGTCCTCAGGACTAAGTTACTAGTTACTCAAGACTAAGATGACTAAATATGCTGTGCATAATGTTAGAAGTTATGTGGATAATTTCCTCAAAATGTGATTTTTATATTGAAACTGAATCAATATTCTTATTTTCTTCACATATAGTAGCAGAAACTGACAAATCTGATATGATAAAAGCTCGTTCTACTAGAAGGAAGGTAGGTTTCTTTAGTGATGATGGTTTTGTTTGTTTTTTAACTTTTTTCAGGCAGAATTATCTTTTATTCCTCCTGATGCTTATAAGATACAGTCTCAGGTATTATGAGGATTGTATATATCCAGGTATATGAAAATATCTCATGTTAGTGCAGGTAATTATATTAAGGAAATCTAATTTTTGAGTGAAAGTGTGTTTTTCCAGTTATTAAAAACATATTTGGTTATAAGTAACCCACCTGCTCTGAAAGAAATAGCTGAAGATGAAAATTTACTCTTTTTTTTCTTTAGAATGTCCTTTTTGTACTGTGTGAAGAGACCAGCTCTAATAATCTTAGTTTCTGACTGTGAGTGTCTAGCTTTTATGACCTCATATATAAAATAACGGAGGCTAATTTACAATGTGATTCTTATGACATTGGACTGTGGTATATTTTTTTCAAAAAGGGAATGTCTGCATGTGCACATACCCATGCAGCCCAACAACTTAAAATTTGTGTTCCTCAACAGTGTAGCACAGTTTCAGAGGGGACTGATGATGTTAGCATCTCAGGAGCCACAAGTACTAAGACTGCTAAAGATACTAAAAATCCAAGAAAGAAAAAGTTTCAAAGACAGAAGAATGTAACCGCATCTGCTGCCAAAAATATACAAGTAAGTGACAGCCCTGGCTTTCATGTTTTGGAAGGGAAAGCACATATTCCTTTTCAAACTAAGCATGAATGAAGAATCTGTAGTTCTGAGCTGAAAGACTAATTTCTTTGACTTCTAGATTTGGTTAAATGAAACAAAAATCAGATTTCATGTTTTGGATTAATTTGTAGATGGGAGAGAAGTGGAACCTTCATTTTAGGGGAAACAGTTGTTTTCTGTCAAAATCCAGTAGTGGTGGCACCTGTTGGAAAATACTGTACAGGATCACTGTAATTACACTGTGCTCTATTCAACCTTCTCAATCTTTTCAGAAAGCAAAACAAACAAGCTATGGGAAAAGAAGAAAGAAAAAAGTAAAAAAATCTTTATATGGCAAAAGAGAAATGGCTTCAAAGAAACCTCTTCTCAGCCCTATCCCTGAAATTCCAGAGGTTTTGTCTTCTGTCTCATCTCCAAACTCACCGAAGGCAAATACACTTTTTTCAGGTAATGTGGTTTTTAGTTTTGTTTTGCCTTGCTCCTTCTGTTCTTTCTGATTTTTTTTATTTCAACAGTTACATAAGAACATGTTGATAGTTATGTTGTGTTCCATGCATAGGTGAAGAGCCCAGTAAATGCTTTTTACTTTTAATTGCTTCTCTAATAGTAGAGTCCAGAGGATCTAATAAATTAATAATCTCCAGATGGATAAATTTAACTCTTGTTTGACTCCAGTGCAAAGCTGACAAAAAACCAAAAGCCTCTCAGTACTTTGACTGGATATGGGTAGGCTCATAGTCTTTAAAACGGGTAAGTTGGGGTATGACTAGTTAAGTGTTGTGCAGTAGCTTTCTGGGTTTTTTTTTTTTTACACTAGTCATCTGGAATGGCTGTTTAGAAGGTTACTTTTACGTAAGTAAAATACTATAAAGCTTTTGTTATAATATTTTAAAAAAGATTATGTACATTCACAAGACCAGTAACCATGTGTTTATTCTAATTCAGAGGATGCACTTTTAGAGAATACCAAATTCAGGAATGCTCACAAGGATGTTCAACAGAAGCCAGTGGTTGGAAGATCGAGAGGGAAGAACACCTGTGCAGCTCATCCGTGTTCAAGCTCTGAGGACCTGGACGTCACAGAAGCCAGCAGCTCCGCTGATACAGCAGTGCAGGTGTCAGATGGTGATCTGAAATCTGTTTCTGGCATTGATCGTAAGGTAACTGACATGCTTAAGGATAGTGCTAGAAAATAAGTCAGAATTGTGCTTGATGCTGTTGGATCCAACATGAAATGTTTTGGGGTAAGAAAAAAAACTGAGTGATTAAACATTGGAACAGCCTGCCTGGAGAGGCTGTGGAGCCTCCGTCCTTGGGAGGAGGTATTTGGGTCTCACCTGGACAAGGCCCCACATTGGAGCAGATTCCAACATACAGGATTCTATGTGTTGATTGGATTTTTTTGAGAATGACTAGACTTGGTGAGGAAAACAGTAGCTGTTGTTCAGTTGTCAGCTGTTTTTTGTGGATTACCTTTTCCTGTATTTAAGAATTTTTTTTTTCCAGTTTTCAAACGTTGTGCCTGATGCCAAGTGTGGTTTTGATACATCTGACTATTTCCAGCAAGGTAAAGAGGCTGCATATGGAACAGAGACAAATGAAGGTGGTTCCTTGATAGAAAACAAGAAATTACAAGGAAATCTCCGAAATAAGGCAGAGCAGCTAACAGGGCTAGAACTTCTGGAACAACAGGACACTAGTGTACATGAGGGTGCCCAAAGAACTCAACGTCCACGAAGAGATTCTGTAAGAGGTAGTCCACCAAGAAGAGGAAGGAGAAGAAGTAGTGCCATCTATTTTCCTCCTGTTGAAAAATTGGAAATAACTGGAAACAGTCTTCCAGTTTCTTCTTTTAATGTGGAAGAAGTCTTATGTGTTCCTCATCTCAAAAATGACTCCTTAGACCCTTTTAGAAGAAAGAGCGATAACAGTGAAAAAAGAGTGAGACGCAGCATGAGATTACACAAAGGTGCAGAAATTGAAGGACTTGCATGGATTCAAGTACCCAATGTGGTTCAAAAGAACCCTCCCCTGATAGCTGCTGATTGCAAAATCAGGAGAACAATAAGCACATCCATCCTTACAGAATCTGAGAATATTCACCATACAGAACAAAATCTCATCCAGTTTTCAGCACCAGGGAAGGAGAACAATGACTCTGATCTTGCTGATGGTCCTTGCAAAAGATGGAGGAGGAAAACCATGTGTGTATCCGTACCTCAAGAAACAAGAACTTGGTCTCAAACCCGGAGAAGGAGCATATCTAATTCTGTATATAGGAAGGACAGAGGTAACCAAAAACACTATGATGAAGCAGAAATACCTCTTGAAAATAACTAACAGTTAGTGAGATTTCAGCTGCCTCTGATTTTATAAAGCGAAGGTCAGTATTAGATTCTTATGTTCTCTCTCTTAAGTGCTGTTTTATTCTTTGTCCCACTTATATTTCTTTACTTATTATTTCCTTGTGCATTTCCTGGATAACTCAGAACTGCTTTTCCTTGTCTTGATGCCTGAAATGCTTGAAGATCGGAACTGTGTGGAAGACCTAGCTTGGCTCAGAGCGTGGGTCTGGTAGCCAGTCTAAATTTTGTGTTGGAAAGAATTAATGAATTCTGCTTCTCTGGTGTGAAGGTTGGTCATTTAAAAAAAAAAAAAAAGCTTTTAAATCTTTATTGTATGTAACATTAAGTTTAAAAAATTAAATTGGCTAAGGCAAGTGAAACATTCATCATACAATAAAGCTGTACTTCATTTCTGGACATTTCCACTCTTCGGTGTACGTGTACTAAATACAGTGCATATTATTCAGTAGTCAACCTGTCATCTTACTGTGTTCATTTTTCTAGTTTGAACAATGTAATAAAATGTGATGACTATAGCTGGTCTACTTAAATGTTTGCTGTTGCTTTCATTTTTCATACTGTTCTGTTTCAGCCCAAGTGAAATACCTGTGCCCGCTCGAAGGAAATAGCTTTCTGTTGAAAATGATGTCTTCTGTGACCTTGTTTTTAACATTATTGATGTGGAATAAAATACTTAAAGTACTTGGCTGCTTTTATAAAGCTTAAAAAGCAAACAGAGCAGTTTCATTTTTATGCATGTTTTACTTTTCTCTACAGACATCATCAGTTTTTCCCAAGACAAGAACTCCTAAGGCAACTTGAAAGAAACTTCCCTACTTAAATGCTGTTCATCCTATGCTGCTTTAGAAATATTACTGAGGTTACCAAAGCAGTCTGTTTGATATTTTATTTCGGGGTTTGCTTTTGTGTCACAATGAAAATTTTAGATTTGGAAGCAGAATGGCACTAGTTACTTGGGTGGAATCTTGTGGTAGCAGTGTGTTGGCTTACCAGGAGAGGGCAGTCGGACACGAGGTTTTATGGTTATGGCTGAATTTGAAAATAATATCAAAGTACAAAATCCTTCAAGAGGTACTAGCTAAGGTTAAAATCTAAAGCTCATTGAGATTAAAACTAGTAACAGCTGCTACTTCTAACATTTGAAAAAAAAAAATCAAAACAGCAACTGAACTACGCACTGAAATTAATCTGGAAAAGCAAAACGCTCATGCACTGTATTCAGATGTGACTTTCTCCGTGGAACTCCCATTGCATTCTTTAACACAGTAGAGCACTGCAGTTGCAGCTGGGATGTTAGGGTTTACCTAACAGGCTTTAGATATTCAAATCTAACAGTGAGTGAAACCTTTGGAGTCCTTGGGTGTCGGATACTGAATACCAGACTTGAATAGTCAGGTCCAGTAAAGAGTTGTCCTGGAAAAAGAGGCAATAGACTAGTATGCATGATACTAGAGGGCTTAATCTAAAGTTCTGCCTTGGACGTGCTTTTTGTGGTGGTGCTGTCCTCACATCACATCAGTCACAGCAGCACTAGAAGAGAATTCTCCCCTGAGGTTTCTTGAGTGGATAGGCTAAGTGCACTGTGGATGTCAAGTGAAGTGTAACTAAAGTCAGAAATAGAAGAACAAGGTTAAGGAGAAGAAAACAAAGCTTGGATTTTCTTCCTGGCACAGCTTGGTTGAAAAGGGTTGTTAGGAATTATATGTAGATGCCCGATGGCAGTTTGCATGGCTCGCATGAGGGTGAGGTCGGAACCTACAGAGAAATAAAGAGGTTGCAGTTAAGAGGACTTACTCTGGAGAGGACTAAGAGGAGACAAATCTTCAGTCACACAGAAGGTTGTTGTAGGGTGGGAAGGGGAGTAATAATCTGTTCTCCATATCTGTACTGAATGGGACAAGAAAGAATGTGTTTAAATTAGAGAAAAATGTGTCTGTTAAACATTGAGAAAAAGTTCCAGCAGCAGAGATAGTTGAGCACAGGAATACATAGCCTCGGGAAGTTGTGGGATCTCCATCACTGGAGGCTTTTAAGAACAGATTAAACAAATATCTGTCAGGAATGACATATGATCCTTCCTAGGGGTAAGGAGAGGGCCTGGATGGCCTCTTGAGATCTCTTCTGGCTGTGTTTTCAGATTGCTAGAGATTAGGGTTGCAAGAGGTGATTTGGGACTTACCTAATGGTTAAGACCTGAGATAGAATCTGCCTTGGAAGAGGGAGCTGGGGAATTGCTGACACTGGGGGCTGTTGAGCATGGGGACGGGACTGGGGAATTTGGGAGAGAGCTCTTCATGCACAGCTAACCAAATGGGCTTAGTACTTGACATACTCGCTGCTCTTCCTCGCAAGAGTATCTCTAGACTCCTGAAACAGCGTAACCTACAATTGGTGGCCATGCTGTTTTACAGGAAGTGTGAACAGCAAAGTGAACAGTGCTGTTCCATTTGCACATTTGCTTTTCAAAACTGAGTTAACATTAACCTTTGACCAGCAACTTCACTGTCCCTACTCAATCAACAGAAGAACTTTCTGAACTGGTCTTTTGTCTTCATTGCCGTGTTGAGTTGTTGGAATTCAAATAAAGGTATATTGCGTGCAAGTGCAGGCCAGTGTCAAGATACTTTGAGTTGGTGCTTCTAGTTTTCAGCTGTTAGTTGCAGCACTATCTGGAGTAGATTTTAATGGTGTTCTGCGGCATTCAGTTAGCTTAGTCACTAGTACAACCCACAGTTCTATTTGCAACAAAGTCAGCAGTGTAAAACTGAGTTGTGTTCGTGTTTGATTGGTGAAGCGTCACTACGCAGTACGGTACGGCTGGTGCAGTCTCCCAGTGGGAAGGTCAGCCTTTGCAGCCTTCAATGTAAGTCTTTTTTTTTTTTTTTTACTTTTTCTGTGCAGTACTGAGCTCCATGTCAGTCTGTGTATTATAGCGACATCTAAATAAATCTCTGGTGTTGGCCACTTTCACCTCTCATTTCTTCTCCCTACTCTTCTAAAGGGAGGCTTTTTCTCTCTTTAGAGGCTTGTTATACAGATTCCTTTGTGTTTAAAAGTACTTCGCTAAGGTTTAGTGCTGTATTGTATAGGCTTTAAATGGCTTCAAGTATGGTAATAGCTAGCACTGAGTGTGTATTGCCAAATAATTGCATTTAGCAGATTGCTGTATAATTATCATGCTCTCACTGACATAGAGGACAAGTGGTGGGTCCTAGAAAGACTGATTATTTTGCCACTCAGTAATTATGATGTCGTTAATAAGTAAGAGTAATTGCATATCATTTCTGCTTGTGCTATCCTATGATGTGCAGTCTTGATACACTGTCAGCTGAACATCTGACAGCTAGCAGTAGGGAGTATGTCACAGTTGGAATGGTCTTTGCTTCAATTTGCTTCATGTTAGTGAGCTGAAGATACAAAAACCAACAATATTTATACTTGAATTCTTCAGAAAGTTTATAAAGGAAAGTGTTAGTGTTTTTCAGGAATTAAGATGCACATAAGTTACAAAAATGGAGACGATATGACCAAGTTTTCTCACATGTGAGTTAACAGAAGTGAAATAGTTTTCTCAACCTGACAGTCACGGTAAGCAGGGAAAGAAAATAACAAGAATAGCAAGTGCCTTTTTTTTTTTTTTTTTAAATAATCAGTTTTAAGTAAAGCTTCATCTAGTCTTCAGCTTATTTTTTTCTACTTGCCTCTGACTAATTGGGCACTAGAAGGTGATACTGAAACACCTAATCATTACATATAAATATCACTCTTGTACGTTCATCTCGTCAGCTAGTCTAGTTGCTGTTTAGAAATGCACTAAAATGTTTGTGCTCTAATCTTCTTCCCGACTCTAAATCCTCTACTACTCTTATAGTTCACTTAGACCTGGAAAGACTTTAGTGATGTACTGATCTATGCACAAGGAAGCAAACAGAAAAGCATTGTTAGATCTATGTAAAAGGAAATGGAGAGAGGAAAAAAAAAAGCCATTGAAGTATGCCAAGTATAGTTTAAACACACAGGAACAGGAGTTGGCAGTGAAAGAAATTTCATTTTCAAGCTGCTAACAGGTAGGTAAGCAATGGAAATAAATCTAAAACCAAACTGTAAAGTGTGGTGGGGTATTCCTTCAAATTACATGTTTTTAAAATTAGGAGGTAAACAGTGCAAATCAAAATGTTTCAACTTGAAATAAGGTAAGGTCTGATTTCACTGTATCCCAGTGGAAAAGATGAAGTTGCGCCTGTGACTTATAGACAAGAAGGCTAATGTATTAGTTTTGTAATTAAGTCCTGTAAATTGTGCATAACAGAGCAATTAACTACTTTAACCAGGCTTTGGAGGAGGAAGAAGAAAAACCCGTGTGCACTGGGAATGAGGGCATGGAACATATTTCCTAACTCAAACCTGAAAAACCTGGTGTTAGTCTTGGGTTATTTCCAGTGACCCCTTGACTCCCATCTTCCTGCCCCCTGCACGGATTTGGAACTGGTCAGCCATTTTTGTTTTTGGAAGGGAGAGGAGACAGATATAATGAATGGCTTTTATTGTGCAATATTTCAAAACCTTTTTGACTGCATTCGGATGGGATGGAAAATGTTCTACCCTGTGCTGCAGCCAAAATAAACAAAACATATTCCCTAAACCTGGATGTGTGTTTCACTCAAACTGGCAGTAGTTAGAGCTCTACTCTTAAACAAGAATTTAGTTTGACAATTTTTAGGCCTTGTTCAGCTGAATGTAACAGCCAAAGAAAATACTTGGGAAAAAATTAAATAATACACATATTTACAGCTTGCAGGTGGCATTAATTTTTGTGGTTCACAGTATTTAGTTTTAGGAATCCCTGTTAGTTGGGCTATATTGTAGATTTTAAAAAATATATATTCTTAATTGTCTTTTTTTTTTAAATTAGTTTTTTTTATGAGAATAGTCATTCTGAAGGAAAATACATTTTATGTAGCTCCCTGATGGGTG